CATGAACCGCCTACATTTTCCTACATATTAGAAAGTGTCCAAGGTGATTAAATCTATTATAATACTAGTTAAAATTCCTATGCTGCATAGTTTAAAGTATATTCGACGAAGAGAGGAAGCTCACCATTTATCTATGCAATTTATGCGTCAAAATAGTCATAACATCTTTTACTTTCAATTTAGAAAAGTGACGTGAGAAAAATCGACTAGGAACAGCATCAAGATTATGATTACGGATTTAATGTTTGTGTAAGACGGAGACGTGCTTAAAATGAGTAATGTGCATTTAATCATATGATGGTAAGTCTGCCTAGAAGTAATTCACACGACACACACAGTCTATTTCTAATTCACGGATTAAGCGTCATGGGAAAACTGTTAGACGACTAAATAAATGACTCTGGTGGCAGCTAATGCAGTACATAATAGCGAAGGTAATATCGAAGATGTACATTATCCTATTCCTTGTGTGTAGCAACCCTTCGTGTATACCTGTTACTACTTTAAAATGTTACCTACCTCCTATGACCCCAAACGCAACGTCGACGAGCTTTAAGTACTTAAGCAGGTCTTAGCGCATTAGTTGTGTTTCCCAACGCAGGGAAAGCTTTTATTTCCCTTAAGGTTTGCCCTGTCTTAATATGTAAAAGTACTCAGAGATCATTGTGTAATTAGTGTCTAAAAGCCTTGGCGGAACCGGGTACTAATGTCTGTAATCGACCATGATGTAGAGACCTGCCTGCCAGTGCGGTTTGTTGAAAAGTAAATATGACAAGGGCATTTTCTTCTCAGCGCACAGGCCGACCCAGGGATATACATGTGTACACAAGACATCATTTGCCTAAGTGGCTCAGTTGTCACAAAATACCAGACGGACGTTAGAATATCAACCATACCCATAAATAATACCAATGTGCACGTCTTATAAATATTTGTCACAAAATGGCTGCTAAAATTATAAATATTTAGATTTTCACTCAAAACTATTTCAAGATTATAGATAATTTCAAATTGCTAGATTATTGAATGATTCGAATACTGCCTGATTGTGCAGCACTGAGGACTTTTAAAGATGTCAATTGTCGTTAAATGCTGTTTGTAATTATGAGTATTTTAGTGTAATTAAGAATTGTGATTTTAAGTACATGTAAGTACATGAAAGTGTGTAATTAAGTCGGTAGACTTTGAAATGCTTCCTGTTGTTTTACTACTACAAATAAACTATTCATATCATAAATAGATATAGGTGTGCTTTTGTTTTGAGCTTTTATAGAATGCTTTATAAAGTTCTGGTGCATCAAAGCCATCAGTTATAAAAGTCTGGAGCTGGCGGTGTGTCAGAAATATAACCTTTGCCGATAGCACCATCTCTCCCAATGCTACAGGCGTGAACTTTGCGTTATTCCACTCAAAGCCTGGCATGGAATACAAAGAGTGCCATTAGGAAATATCAGACCTTCTGTGGCATTCAGTACATTTTCACAAATGGAAAGGAGCCATCGGACCCGTTACTAATCCTATAGTTTACCGTCCTGTCTGTCCTCCCGATTATAACAGGGACTGGATCCCGCCGGGCAAGTCACAGCCGGCTGACTACAAGTATTGGCAACGCCATTGTCAATTTACTACCTGCAATTTCTCACTCTTTCCTCAATCAGATAACTTGAAGAACTAAGCATGGATCACCATTCGTTTTAATTATGACGGGCATTATCTTCCCACTGAATCTATTGGGACGAATAGCTGTGATGGGAAACGCTTGATGTATGTGCCTAGACTCTCGGTGACTCGGTACTTGTAATATTTTAACTGTTTTATAGGTAAGACACCCTATGTGCAGATAGTGATTTCCAGACTTTGTTTTGCTATATCTGCACATAGGAAATATAAAGATAGTGGGTGAATATGCAATCAAATGCTAGACCCATTTATTGTAAGGACGTATGCCCTATGGGGCATCCGATATTTGACCCTTAAAGTGTCAAATCTTTTAGATCAGCCTTTCGATGGGCTTCTTCTTCTTCTTCCATATTACGTGCTTAACCTCAATAGGCTGAGGGCTCCAAGCACGGTACGTAGAAGACGTACACAAGACTGTAATGTTTGATCCACTCACACCGGGAAGATCCCCTACTCTTTTCGATAAGTGTGGCGGGTTCTTTAGCGTGCTCGAGGTGTGGCTCTCCCCAAACACGGGACCTCCATTTAACGTCCTATCCGAGGGACGTCCCTAACCGAAGCTAGGTACTCATTTAAAGTGAGGAAAGTCGTGTAAAGTGCCTTTCCCAAGGGCACAAGATCGGTGACATGGGTGGGGATCGAACTCGGGACCTCTAGGTCCTGAGCCGAACGCGCTACCGACTGCGCCACACGACCCCACGATTTACTTGACACCTCCTAACTAAAATCACCACAAATAATACAGTCGTCATCGTAATCGGATATTTAGGATTCATAGATATGGTGACTAGCTAGTAGGTAATATTCAAAGGAACATTTTTTTCAAATCGTGATTTTATTGCAATAAAATGGAATAAAAACTGTGAAGTCGAAATGTTCACACATTTCAAGTGGCACCTTTGCTGATTTTAGATTCACTGGGTGGTTACGTTTGAAAACAATCCATCCGATGAAAATAGGTTTTGATGGTCTGGATTTTCTAAGCTCTTAGAAAGGCTAGTCGTACCTTACGCTCCATTAGGCTTTAAGTTAGTAAATAGAGACAAATGCCTGGGGATATTAGTGTCTTCCCGGGTCGTTCCCTCAGACACCGTCGATATTCTAAATAGCTCGCATCATCACGTGAGCACGTTTAGTTACTTTATCCCTGTCTTGGTTCATGAGATTAATTCTAACACTAATTACTACCCTAGACGGCCCGTACTTAGCTTGATAAATAGCCATTAATCCAAATCCTGCAGTATTAAAGTACACCTCACACAATCCGTCTTTGGAGTTGCTAAATAGATCGGCTCGCCTGTCGCCTTTGACCGATGTCCTATCACACGTTATGATTTCAGGCTGTTCCTTAAACCCTAGAAATAAAACAGGGCCCCAAATCAGAATTAACGATCGTAAGCCTTTAATACAGGACATAGCGAAATCACGGTTACATACGTTATTAGTTGTGTCCCCAGCCAACAGTTATGTCAGTGTTCTGGAATGATAACGTGATATTGATAATGCAGTGATGCCCACTTTAAACCCCACGTACCATTTTTAGCAAAATTAAGGACTTGCCATACATGTAATTTCAAATGCATGCCTTTCTGCTTGTTTACTTGGAGGGTTATCGAAGGGATTTAACTCATAACTTTTATATAACCCGTATGTTTCTTACTCGATTTTTCTTACTTAAAGATTCTGCCATTTTGGAGTAAAGGATGGTCTTGGCACTGTTGCTAGACGCAGGTAATTCATCTAGAAAGTGGAAAAGAAACCATGGGTATTTTCCCGGAAACATCATATGACAGTTGAGTTATGGTGCTGTTTACGGAGGGTAAAGTCTAATTACACAGTTTGTGCGCAGGGATTCAATCTGAACATTAAGCTACATTACGTAAGATATTTAATCAAAATTAGTGACATAACATCATGCCAAGTTAGTTTCTTTTGTCCTTTAGGGCATGTTGTATAATGTGCATGCCAAGTTTTTTGTTCTTTCAAGCTGCCATCTTGCCCATACAAAGCCGGTTTTATGAATACAGTCACATTAAATGAACAACCCTTCAGGGGCGTCTCCAAGCAGTATTTTTCAATTTGATAAGCAAAAAATATGACCAATTAATGCCATCTGAAGCATAGAATATACGAGGGCCCGTGAGCACACCGCTGCATAATATTTTGATTAATTATTTTGCCCGGGCACGTTGTCTATGTTTCACATAAAAGCAAATGTTAGAGACAATCATTAATTTTGCAAGGAAGTTTGGTAATAAGACTAACATATAGGCGTACTACTAAGATGTGCGTTACTTAGTTTTGTGAAAGAAAGAGTTACTACGAAAGTCAAACTTCTTATATATGCTGAGCATGTAGTAATTTGAAGTAAAGAATGCTTTCTAATGTAAGTCAGGGTAAATCGTTGAGCTGTGTGCCTCATGAAAATGCATCAGTATCCCAATGTTCATTCCACAAGGTCTATCAGTATTGAATCCAGAAGTAACAAATAGTCCAAGCGTGACTTGTGTAAGGCGCAAAGCAGAAACGATTTTCTTACGAATTTTGGCGTGGGGAATGTGTATGTACATGAACCCAATCGTTACCGGGTGCAAGATTGAATAGGCCTACAAATAAATTGGATGGATGAAAGACATTTCGCTTTTGTCCTCCATAAATATTAGGAAATGTCGTGGTAAACGTCATCCATCAGGCAGTGGCTGACGGGGGTGTGCGAATGATATAGTATTACGACGGGAACGGCCGCGGGAGGTTTTAAATGGATTCTGCAGGCGTTACACACATACTCTAGATAATGCAGTGCCCAAATGTGCCCCCATGTGATGGAAATAAAAATGCTGGCTGCACAACCCATTAATACAGGAATTTTAGGCTTTCCTAGAAAATGCCTCACGCTGGAATAAAAGACCCACGGGGCAGTCAAGTGTGATTAAGACAAGAAAGACTGCAAGGTGTGTGGAGTAATCAAATAACAGAAAAAACGTAATGTGCCCACGTTAGAAAAAAAGCTATAAAATAGGACAGTATTAAGTACAGACAGCAGGGTTAGGCCCTGTGACTCCGGAGCTTCCAGCTCGTTTGGGTGGTAATGGAATAGGCACGTGGTGGTCCAGAGGATGCCGGGAAGCCGGCACAGACGAGGCACGGTCGGGCAGGGTGATATCGACTGGCAGACTTTCAGGGATGATCAGAGAGAAGGAGGCGGGCACACCTAGACAGATTCAGCAGCTTTTGGGGAAGCTGGAAATGATGGCGCCGCCTAGCCCACCAGCTCAGCTCCTCTTATCCGGGTCATTTGCCTTTTCTGCCGGCTTCTACGTTCTCCTGATGCTCCTTCAAGGTGGGCATTAGTTACACTACATTGTTTCCCAATGTCCTAAGTACGTGGTGCTTTGCACAAGGCTGGTTCTGTTGCTTTAATATTGCAGAGAATTATCTTTTTTTTCGATTTGTCAATGAGATGAGTCGGCGGTTATGATGGAGAAAGTGCTTCAGGGTGTGAAGGTTATAATTCATTTTTAACGTTCGATATATTTTTGAGAGAAAAGGGTCGGCGCTGGGAAATAGGATTTGCATTTGGGAGCGGGATAGCGGAGTGAATAAAATCGACGGCAAACAAGATTATACATTTTCCCTGGAGTGTAGTACTAGAGAGTGTGTTGTGGCGCTCTGTCTGAAGCCTGAGCTCTTGTATCGACAAAGCATCGGGGTGTTTTTAAAATGGGCAATCTGGTGATAAATTACCGAGTAATCCTTTCCCTGTAAACGAGGCCCGATCAAGATCAATCAATGACTAGCTAATCCCGTATAGCCGGCAATCACGGACAAGGATGTCATGTTAAGGATTTCCCCAAACATGTTGGCAAGCATCTACAAGCTGGTCGGTAAAGACCTCAGTAAAAACAAAGCGGCTTAAATCAGTAAAATTCCATTCTAATGTGCGCAATTGCCGGCGGGATACAATCCATCCAGATTAGAGTAGGTCTGTTGTCATAGCAAATTATGATTACTGCAATCTGGAATAGATTCTCATCTTACGTAGGATTTTCGTGATCAAACTGAACAGATTACATCAGCTTTAAGAGGGCCATTCTGACATAGACTATGTTCTAGATTATCCGCCTCATTTTGCAAATGGGTCTGGACAGGGCTTACCGTTTGCAGTCGTTTGGACTTGTAGAATTTTACTGTGTTCGACCCGTTATGCAGTCTGGCTATAACCGCTACCGTGAGAATAGTGTGGCACCAGTCTTACACTCTGTCTGTCTACGGACTCTCAGTAAACTAGTCCGGACAGATCCCATACATATTGTCTGGCTTTAATTCATCAAACTGACAGTCGTATCTGCTTCCGTCAATTCTACTCAAAAGTATCCAAAGCTTGCACATGTGATACAAAAACACCTTCGACTCACAAATATCCAACTCGACAGTTTAAGACAGCTTGTTCACCTGTTGGAAGTTTTGACATTCTCGAAGGTGCTCCTGTGCAGAGATTCCATGGGAAGTGCTCTTGGCACGATTTACTCATTACAGTTATTGCCTCCAGGGCATCTGCTCCACTGCGCGTAAGGCTTGGCGGCACCTGTAATCTCAGTCTTCTCGCGTACAAGCAGGCTATTTTTAACAGACCGAGCTTTACCTATAGCTGCAGTTGCCAACGTGAATTCTTTCCTATTACTCACACTGCCCTACTTATCCCTGTGTTCGTCCAACTTTTTGAATTAGGGCAGCACTTTTCTATAGATCTTAATCGGATTACCATTTAGACGTGCGGGTACTGAGAAGACCAAAGAGATACCCACAGGAATCGGTTCTCAAATCACGTTATGTTACAAACATTTCTTTGACTGAAACTAAGTGCCTGGAAACATTCTTCACTTTTATCACCGAGTTCGCCTTGTGGTAATCTCTCCGGGGGACATGGGGACTAGGACGCGTAATGCCATAGTAGAAGGCCCGTGGAACTTTATCCAGTTATTGCAAAGGCAACGGATGCTATTAGCCGTGTTTTACCTCCCTCTATGCATCCTTTCGTGTATATTTCTTACAATAAGTGGCTTGATTTATACCAGGAACATAGCAGAATGCCGGGACACAGAGTCATAAAGCCATACGTACATTACTCAAGGCTATGGAGTGTGTCATGAGACATGCATGCCCGGGGGTGACAGAAAGAGCCCAATGAAAGGAGTGATATGTACTGTGAAGTTAAACTGTACCATCTTATATCCCCAGTAGAAACAGTCGGTAAATCTAAGCAGGGAAGGCTATGTTTCGGGTTGTTAGTTGTAGCACATTATCGTAAGTCTTCGGGGGAAAGCAAATGAGTGAAATTCGCCGGCACTATAGGTGGTTAGATGAAGGTTCAAGCGGTACGCTGGGCAATATGTACTTTATGGGATGACATATTGAGACGTCAGTTCAATTGTTGGCGGCGTCTACGGCCATTTTACCCTTCATCTGTCTTACGAAGAAGATCTCGTGAGCGCCGTCCGGAGACGTAATTGATTGATCGGTAAAAACGACTAGTGCGGGCGGTATGGTATAACTAGTAAATGACGGCGCGTGTGCGCGTGTCGAGACGTTCAGTTAGTTCACTTTTCTTTTCATTAACGATTCTGTAAATGAACAAGGGGGGTTAAAGGATATCGGAAGACTCCACAAAGTTATTCCCCTCGGTCCGATTAAATCACTCGGTTTTATCGGTCACTAGCTTGCGCACAGGATGAAATCGAGAAAAGGTTATCGGTACAAGTTAGGACCAGATTCCTAATTTTTTTATCTAGGGATCTGTGCCATTTGTTATGACACGAATACGAAACATTAAGCTCAGTCAGCATCACCTACCAGGTTATGTTAGCAATAAAGTTGATTTCATTGATACGTAACAGTCATGCAAAAACTTCAAAAATACTTCTAAGAGTCACGAAGGACCCGATTCCTAAGTTTGTTTTTTTTTATCTAGGGATCTGTGCCATTTGTCATGACACGAATGCAAACTTTAAGCTCAGTCAGCATTACCTGCCAGGTGATATAAAATACGTAACAGTCATGCAAAAACTTCAAAAATACTTCTGAGGGTCACGAAGGTCAAGCCGACGCGCTGCCCCGCTTTCCAGGACAATCTTCCCGTAACCTATTCGTTAGATGTTTGAATTGTTCTGGCGCCTCGTTCTATGATTGTCAATTTGCAATTGGATTTGGGGATTAGAATTGGTCAATCGAATGTGAAATACTTGATGTATCGTGGTGCCATGGGGAAAGCTTTAATGCAATGATGCTCCATCCAATAGCTAACACGGAGATTTGCCTTTATGGGAATGGCTGTCACATGTTTCGCCGTCAAACTATACGACGAAACGACATAATAATACACATTGCTTTTTTCACATGGAAGTGACAGATTTTATTGAGAAAACTGTTCAGCCATATCCCTTTGACCTATGCATGGTTTGTGAAATTTGAAAGCATTGTCAATTTTATATGAATACCGTAGGCACATTTTGTGTCTTGGTAACGAGGATCTTATACTCCGCCATTTCAAACATCAGTGGTCTGACAGTACAGCGCGAATATTGAAGTACCTATCAAGACTGTACCGTACATAACAGATGGCTCATATCCGTCTATCTTCTGAGTACGGCACAGGAGGCTTTTTGCCCGCAGCCATGCGTTCCAAAGCGTATATTTCTTTCCTGGTGGTAATATAGATATTTATCCAGCCTTCAACTAAATTCCCCATCATTTTGCTGACGCAATCCTGAAACAGTCGCCGAAGAAAAGATTACCCCAAGGACACAAAAACATGATACGAGAGGTTAAGAAAAAACTATTTGCTACCAATCAATCTTTTCTGGTGGTTTTCTGTCAGCTGTATAACAGCTTGCCTGCTCTCTTGGGGATTTCTTGGGGTTTTAGATGTTATATCCTTGGCCACGGATTGGATGGCACACGATGCGATATAAGTACTCTTACGTGTATCTAAAGCCCCTGTCACAACTTCACGGAGGACCTTCCCTACACTATGCCCCTGACTGCTCCCAACTGCACTTCGGTTGTGGTTTGGGTGTCGTAAGGCCGTGTATTACTACTATTTACTTCCTCCCAGCTAGTTTCCAGCCGCGTGACGACTTATTTGAGAGCACCCAGATATTTCAATGTATAAACAAAAGGTTACTTCTAGACACATTCGTGGTTGGAACGAACCTTATCTGTAACACGTTTTATTTTACGCTTTTTTTATGTACTTCATATTCACCACAAAACAAGCCACTCAAATGTTTTGGATTACTCTACTAGACAGTGAGGACAGATGTTTGTTGGCCTTAGACTTCAAAAGTTTAAGGTTATACCCATTTGGAAAACAATCACGTGTTAGCTTGTTCCATTCTGATGTTCTAAGAAAGAAGCTTTCAGCATGGAACTTCCTCGTAAGAGGTGGAGTGCGGAGAGAGAAAATGTAAGCACGTATAACATGATTTGAATTTATCATCTTGTTCATACTTGGTAATACGTATATGCTGTATGTGCTTTCTTGAGTCTGCCATTGTATCACACAGCACCTAAACATGATAGGCACAAAATATCCTCGAGGTACATGGTTGTATATCTTTTTCTTCTGGACATATAGGTCATGGACACACCTACACGGTTCGGGCCTTCTAGCTCTAAAACATAATTCAATCGACCGTGCTCTAGTTGCTGCTTGTTTTTCCTGATAAGAAAGCACGCAACAGTTAAATGGCAGGATTGCTCCAAATACCCAGCAGAGCACGATAATACATGTAAGATAACAAGAACCGCGTACGCCGACGTTTAGCCAGTACAGGGCCAGCTTGCTGAGCACTATGGCTGTTATATTTAACTACGTACATGCTGGCCAACTAGTTTAGTAATACTCTGTCTGAAAAGTCTTGAAAAGTAATTAATGACTAAGATAACAAGAACCATGTTCGTCGACTTTCAGCCAGTACAGGAGCAGCTTGCTGAGCACAACTGCAGTTATATTTAAGTACGTACATACTGGGCAGTGTAGTTGAGTAATTAATGACTAAGAACCGTTGCATGTCATCCTGAATGAGTTCGGGGTGAGCTCTGGTTTTGTCTTGTAATACATGTAAGATAACAAGAATCGTGTTCGCTGACGTTTGGCCAGTACAGGGCCAACTTGCTGAGCACAACTTCAGTTATATTTGACTACGTACATACTGGGCAGTGTAGTTGAGTAATACTCTGTCTGTAATGAAATGGAAAAGTAATTAATGACTAAGAACCGTTGCACGTCATCTTGAATGAGTTCGGGATGAGCACTGGTTTTGTCTTGTAATACATGTAAGA